TTTTTTTTTTTTTATTTTCCCCTTTTCTACCTGCTACCTAGTAAGCCACCTCCCAATTGCTTTTTGACTTATGTAGTGATGACATGCATCAGTTAAATGTTTCCTATACACCAGGTAGCACAAGGAGGATCAAAAAATACAGTAAATGTTGAAAGTTTTGAGAATTTATGACAGTAAGACACATCGCCAGGAAGCGCCCTCACAAAGATTTCCTCTTACCTTCAACACGCTTATCCCATCACACTTGCCACTTTCTGAAGCAGTTTTGGAAGCCCTCTTTCATGGGTGTCTTCACAAGGTGTGATTTTAAAAGTTCTGGTGAATGCTGCAGCTGAGTGCCATGTGTTATAGGTTATAGCTAGATGTCCCCCCAAAACCTCATGCACTCTCAGGTGGTACTTCAGGAAGGCAATTGGACCATAGTGTAATCTGCTAATGAGTGTATAGCTAAAAGTGGTGATGGGAGGTGAAGCCCAGGATGTGGCCTGGGAGGATATATCTCCTCAATCCCTTTCTCTCTCTCTCTCTCTCTCTCTCTCTCTCTCTCTCTTTCTTCCTCTTCTCTCAGCCTTCTGAGGCTGAGACCCAGCTGATTAGGGATTAAAACCTCTACAAAATAAGTCTTTCCTCCTTAGAGCTGTGAGTGTAAGGTGTTGCATCTCAGTGAGGAGAGAAGTAACTAAGATATGACCCAGTGGTGAAGCACACTCATAAAAGACATCACAGTGTGTCTTCATCTGGCTTCTTCACTAGGCCTGGCACCAAGTGACCCTTGGCTCCTCCCCAAAATGACCTTGAAATCTATTCAAGACACCCAGGCGGCCAAAACAGTGCAACTAAACACATTCAGGAAAGAGGACTTCCAGGCCTGATTCAGAAACTGGTGAGAATGATGGACTACATGTGCTCGAAACGAGGAGGAATATTTTGAAGGGGATTAATGTCAGTGTGTCTTTTACTGTGATACTTTCTTTTTAAAATTTAAACACATGCCAGTCAGACATGGTGGAGGCCTATAAACCCAGCATTGGGAAGCTGAGACAGTATTGCTGTAAGTACAAGGCCAGCCTGGGCTACATGAGTTCACAGGCAGCCCAAACTACATAGTGAGACCCTGTCTCAAAAAGAAAGAAGAAAGAAAGAAAGCCAAACTGAAACACTGCATGCTTTTCAACCACATCTTGCACAACTGCTTTATGTAAGTTATTTCACTAGCATTTTCTCTCCCTTTACTTTGTTCCAGTATTTTTCCTAACTCTGCTGTTTTGTTGTTGATGCTGCTGCTGTTTAAACAGGCAGTCCTGAGGCTTTGGTAATAAAACAAATTGGGACTCTACTGGCATGGGCTTCCCTATTTGGAGCTCTGATCCAAATAACTCGCCCAGGAAAACCCTTCTATCCTTGAGAGGCTTGAAAGTCTTTATAGCAACTATTTTTCAGCTTGCTGCAATAGAAAATAACAATAAAACAGACAAAAATACTCTTCCTCCTTTAGAAAACTGAGATAAGTATAGTGCCTCCCTCAAAGAGTCGGTGTCTGCAGTGGGAAGCGGGGAGCTGAAACACATCAAGCTCCTCGGGCAGTGCCAGGAGTGGACAGCAGCAAACCCCTGTCCCCAGGAAGAGGAGCGAAGGCCCTGCTCAGGGTCCTGACATGCTGACCACTTGCCAGAAGATTCTTGGAAAACCTTACCTTTTACCCAAGTTACTGTTTTTCACATACACACATTACTGCTTTTTCTAGCAACTTCTAAGGTGGATATGATTATCATCATCTTTATTATAAAGAGGTGGAATTTGAGCCTCAGAGAGATTAAGAGCCCCCACGTGACCAGAAAGAGACTTAGGTCAGGGCTTTTGGTCTACATCTGTGTTTCTCAATCATTTTATTCCTGACTTTTTAACAATTACAGCCAGAGGTTGTGTGTGTGTGTGTGTGTGTGTGTGTGTGTGTGTTTTAATTTGCATTTCTCTAACAGCCAATGTCAACAATCAATTGCTTAACCAAAGACTTTCATCAAGACTAGATCCAGGCATCTGAAAGTGTCAAAAGTCAGACATAAACTTTGCCCATTTTAACTGGGTCCTAGAACATGCATGTCCAATCCACCTGTGGCTGTCCAAAGCCCTGGACAGCCAGTCATGCAATCTTGTAAGATCTTATATACCTTTAACATTATTGTGTGATTTTTTTTAGCAACTGCGTGGTGATCTGAGAGAAAACTGATGCATTAGTTTCACAAAACAAGGTAAAATATTCCACTAGCATTATGTTTTACATTGCCCCCTCTTTTATACATTATAATAAAACTATTTAAAAATAAAGGAAGCTTTGCTATATATATATAGTATTTATATGCAGCCCAAAACAACTCTTCACTCAGTGTGTCCCATACCAGCCAAAAGCTCTAGAAACAACTGGCCAAATACATCAAGTCAAATATTCAACAATAAGGCAACTGTTAACTGGGTCATCTTTATATGAAATATCATGGAGCAAATAAAATGAATGCGAGCTATGTGGGCTGGCCTGGAAAGAGATCCACAAATATTAAACCAGCAAGGTGGACTGCGGAGCATTTAGCAGAGTGTGTGAGACAAAACCATCCCTCCCCCTTCCACACGATCACCAACATGGGCCAGCACAGCCCCTTTCCACGCTCTCATATCTCTCGATCCTCGATGTCTTCTGTCAGGATTCTTTCCCAGCTCCTCACTTAGTCTGCGTTCCTCTGTGTCTGACTCATGCCCTAGCGATGAAGCCACAGATGCACATGCTCCATGGATGCAGATATGCGCATGCTCCACGGATGCACATGCTCCACGGATGCGTGTGCTTCCAGTACCACTCTCAGGGCAGACACCCAGAGGGATTGGCCCAAATCCTGTACATCCCAGGATTCTCCACGTCAGGCTGGGTTACTTCTATCCTGGGTCTTCTACCAAGGTGCGCCTTTTGGCCCAGCACTGGAGTTTGGTTTTGTTTTGTTTGAGCCAAGGTTTTGCTGTCTTCAACACTGGTTTTGAACTCACTGTGTATCCCAAGCTTGCCTTGAACTCACAATAATCCTGCCTCAGTCTTGGAGTGCGAGGATTACAGACGTGCACTAGCTGACCAGGCTAGCTCTGGCTTTTAAGACTATTATCAGATGCTGATGTTAATTAAGATTGTTATACTTCCCATGAGTATTATGGCAAGTCCCCTAAGTACAAGAATTTAGACTAAATTTACTCCAAATAGGAAACTGAGAATTAAAAGCTAGCCCTGGAGATGAGGAACAGCCCTTTCCCATAGGCATCTTTGTATGAGATGGATTTTTGTAACAACAAATTGATAGCTATAAACCCCACTCCTTAAATATTAACGACAGTAGCTGACTTACACTAGGCCTTTGATGAACACTGACCCTTTCTAACACAATCTTTGCCTATAAGGTAGGTCTCCCTATCCCCAGCTACAGTCGAAGATACCAAGACACAGAAGAATTAGGGAACTTGCCCAAGATCATCACCCTGGTAAGTGGCATCACATATCTGAGAACTCAGTGAATCGACCCCAGTGTCCAATAGCCCTGTGACCATTAATCATGATAGGTCAACTTAACTGGAGTAAGAGAAACCTAGCAGGTTAGTAAAGCACCCTTCTGAGTGTGTCATGGAGACATGACCTCAGGTGCTGTATGGTCTCTAGTGCCTGATTTTCTGGCACTGTTACCTGCTCTTCTTCTCAGCAGCCATGAACCAAGCATCTTTGCCACACCCTTCCACCATATTTCTGCCGTGGAGCCAGCTAACCGTGGACTGAATCCCCTGATGCCGTGAGCCAAAGTAAACCTCTCCTCTTTTCGGTTGTGGGTGTCTGGTATCATGTCTCTGTGATAGGAAAATGACTAATACAACCACCAGTCATTGGATCCTGCTGTCTCAGAAAGAAACCAAACATAGGGCAAAAAAAAAAAAATCAATCTGCAGTTCAAGAAGCAATTTTTTTGAGGCTTCTTTTTGAAGTCAAGTTTGAAAAACATGAGAGGAAAAACAGAGGAATGGAGATTTGAGAAGAAAACCAAGAGGCTGAGCTCACGGAACTGGGAAGTTGGATGAGGAGGATTAACTAAAGGAACATTTTTTTCTTATACTGAGTTGAATTTCACATAACAAAATTAACCATTTTCGAGTTAACAATTGGGTACAATAATGCAGTGCAAGCGCCACCTCTATATAGTTCTAAAATACTGCCATCACCCCAAAGTAAAACCCCATTCACATTAAGAAGTTACTATTTAAACTCCCCACACACCCAGCCCAAATCCCTGGCAAACGTTAGTCTGCGCTTTGTCTCTGGATTGATCTATTCTGGTCTGTGTAAACAGCCTTTCATGTACATTCCTCATAGCAAGTCTCAGTACTTCACCCTTTTAATGAGTAGATATAATTCCTTTATATGTCTGTACCACAATTTGTTTACCAATCCATTGTTGATAAGTTTTGAACTACTCCCATTTTTTATTATTGTAATAATGTTGCTATGACTATGTATGCACATGTACTAGTCTATATACCAGATTTGTTATTTGAATATATAAGTAGGAAGGAAATTATTGGGCCAGATGATAATTCTGTGTAATTTTTAGGACTCCTATGCCCATTTTTATTTATATTGTAAATAATATTAGTAAATGAATATATGTTAAACATTGTGAATCTCAGTCTCAGTGCCATTAATATTTGGGCCTAGAGAATCCTTCGGTGTGGAAGGTTGACCAGGGCTTGTGGGAATCTTTGCAGCCATCCCAGCCTCTCCCGGTAGATGTCAGTAGCATCCTCCCAGTTCTCTTGTCTGGAGCCCCTGCCAAATGCCCCCTGGGAAGCAAAACTGCCCCCCTTCCCGCTAAAAACCGCTGGTTTAAAGTTCTCTGCAACCCGAGAGCAAGTATGTCTGACAGGAAAGGAGAAGATTAAACAGAGTAAGAACCTTTTAACAAACACACATTCCTGAGAAGTTTGTGTACAGGAAGAACTTTTTGTTTACTGTGTTTGGTGACAAGAAGTTTGAAGATTTACAAATACATGACAACCAGGAAATTTTTACCATTAAATATTCATATATCTTTTATAGCTAACTTCAGTAATATAAGCCCAGCTCATCGACAAAACTCCAAGAAATATAGCTCCTTCCACCTCTGTCTCTAGACACAACACGTTCTAAATCTCTTTTATAGCACATGACAACATATATTTTTAAATTGGCAACTAGGAGATTCAAGCTCACAACTAGGAGCAAGATTTTTTTTTTTTTTTTTTTTTTGATAGAGTAACGTTTTCTTTTTTCAAATAGAAGCTCAGGAGGACCCATGCGGAATTTCCTATTTGGTTCACCCAGATAACCAAAAGACAAATGCTAATTTTCATTTTGGGGAGACAGTGAACCAAAATGAATCTTTTACTACCATAGATCCTAATGCATTCATTATCGGAATGGGAACCTATCAGGTTCTGTCCTAGACCCCCGATTTCCCAAATGAGTGTACAGCGGAGGTTAAATAAAAAGAGACAAATTTATGATTTTTAGGGCTCCAGGAGGGTCAAAACCCCTTAATTAAGCTCGAGACTTCAAGGGTAAAGACAAAGGATTCTCTGGATCAGTCCACTTATATTAGGACCAAAGACAAAAGGGCAGAGATCCTGAGGAAAGTGCAGGCAATGAGCAGGACCTTGGGAGTCATCTTCAAGGACGTCTTTAAGTCATGAATCAAGTCAATTCAGTAGCACTGTCTTATCATGAAGACATGGTAGAAGTGAGACTGTAGGAGTAATCTTTGTAGCTGTAGTCTCTACCTTGTTAATTGGGATTGGAGCCAGAGTGCCCACCAGCTGTGGCCTTCTCTTGCCCTTTGAGGTATCTCTGGCCTCACAGGCCACTACAGGCCTCAGCCAGACCAATGATTCATAGAGGTTCACTTACTATAAATCAGCTCCTGTCGCCAGGCAAGGGGCCGAGGCCTAGGACAGACTCACAGATAAACATAGACAGCCAATTAGTAAAATTTAAATCCTGCTCAGAGCCGCTTCGTAGTGGTCTCTAACAGGAACCCTGAGTGCATACATGCCTCTAGCCACACAGCAGAACTGACCGGCTCAGGTGCAGACAGCGTTGGTGTAGAATTCACAGCAGTTAGCAAGCGCCACTGCACTGAACTCCTGGTTTTCCCAAGGACCAGAGAAAGAAGGTGGACTGGTACCATTTGCAGAAGTACTGAAAGGAAAAGCCAGAGAGTCAGTGTGTCAGGAAAAACAAACAAACAAGTCAACAGCACATCAGTAACTGTTACCAGGCAGCAGGAAACAAAACCACAGCCTCAAGATTCATCCATCCACCATGACTAAATAAACTAGATCCAATGAAATGTGTTCTCTCTTTAATACTGGCAGTAACACCAGCAGGAGCTCTGTACCATGTCGTCTACTCCCATGCCCAGTTCCTAACCAAAGCCTGTCTAGAACATTTCCTTTCCAGAGACCTGAGGCAAAATGGATGTCTAGCAATAATCTCCAACAGAATTTATTCCACAAAGCAAGGTAATAATAGCCCCGTGTTTCCTTCTGAGAAAGGAAAACAGCTCAGGCTGAATTAGTATAATTAGTTAGACAAACATCTCTTTCAGAGATTTCAGAGAGTTGCTAATGACCCCCATATGTGACTAAGGAGTCCATTGATCACCATAAGAATACAGTGATCAAAGCTAGGCCAAACCAATGACCTCCCCAGATTATAATTCACCTTTTAACTGGTGGCTTTCTGGAGACATTCTTTTCCTTCGCTACACATTGATAAATAAGCCCGTTTTTACGTTCTGTGAATGCATCACGGTTTTATACATGTAACTTTGTCTTCTCTCAGTAACACTCATTCTGTGTGACAAAGCTCGTCATTTTTTTTTACCATGCCCCTCTGCTCGTCAGTAGCCTCCGCCACAGAGAGAACCCATCACCTGGGCACAGAGGAGCTCGTACCAAAGGTGCACCTGATAAAGGATGAACTGGTCTCTGTCTGTGTCTGCTCTTATGCAGGGTGCTATCAAGGCCCCCTTTCTCCTGCCCCAGAAGGCTCGCTGATGGAAAAGAGAGAAGGGTCCTGCCTCGCTCACCTCTGGAAAAGCTCTCGGCAGCACACCAAGGTCTCATAGGTTCTGTTGGAGAAACTCATGTTCAGGAAGGAGACACAGTCGGCTTCGGCTCCCCTGGGCACGTAGAGGATCCCTGGACACAGAGACACAGATGCCAAGGGGAAGGCTTGACACAGGTTCCTCGAGGCTCCTTATCTTTGCTCTTTTTTCCTATGAGTTCTTGTTTTTATTGGTCCGTGTTCAAGCACCTAATGGGTATATTCCTCGTGGGGAATGTCCATGGACATCACACAGCTTAGGTCTGTGTCTTCATCTCATCACCCTTCCCATTTCCAAAAGATCCACCTTCCTGTTTGATCTTCTCTATCTTTTATTTTGTTCTTTAATTTATTTAGACTTTGTGTTTCTCATAAAAGAGAAACAATGTGATAGTTAAGCTTGTCTGATTTATCTCACTTAACCTTATGGTCTCAAGGTGTATCTGTTTTCTTAACAATGACTCGAATTCACCCTTCCTTATGGCATGGTAGTGCTCCATGGTGTGTAAACACCACACTTTCTGTATCCATTCATCTGTTGGCGGCCATACAGGTTGCTCTCAAGGTTTAGCTGTCATGAGTTGTGCTGCTGTAAATATGGGTATGTGAGGATCATTGTAATAGGATGACTTTAACTCTTCAAGAAAGTATCTAGGAGGGGAATGGCTGGCCCAAATGGAATTTCTAGTTTTACTTTTTGAGGAATCTCCATACCAATTTCCATAAGAATTGTACCAGTTCTTAACTGAGCACTCTGTATACATTTTCTATACATCTAAGGGGTGGGTGGTGGTATCTGTACTCCGAGAGCGAGCTTCCCATGATCCAAGGACAAGATTTTCACTGGAAGACCGCCCAGAGGCACCTACCCGCCATACAGGCACTGATGAAGGACACACAGGCCCCTGTGAGGAGGGCCCTGATCACAACCTTGGACAAGTCATTCTTCCGGTGGGGTACCATTGATGCTGCAGACAACAAAACAAAGTCATGTGATCTCCTCCTCACCCTAACATCAGTTCTATGCCACCAGCTCCCATGTATAAGGATGTGGAGAAGAAAAGCTCAGCAGAGGAAGAGCAACCTCCCACTGACCACCTATGGCTGGCCAGCACTGGCCTAGGTGTGCATTTGGTCCTGAGGCTTCCCCTGACAAAAATAACACGTCTGACTCTCACTATAGTGGCTCTGTGACCATTTCCAAGCTGTCTGAGTCACACAAGGTGCAGGTGGGGATAAATGCCTGCCAGTTGCCAATTGAGGTTTTCATACTTGAGCTTGAACCGAAATTAGATGGACCATTTTGAGCTAATAGACTAAAATGGCAACACTGACCCAAACCTTAGCCAGACGAGTCTTTCACTATTAGCTGGCCTTCTTGCAGCTGACTACCAGGCATCTGAGTTAGAACAGGATAGACAGGTATTTAACAGAAGGGAAAGGATGAATCAGAAGGAAATTATTTCACCTTCAAATTTTTCACTCAGCTCTCAAATAAATAAATTTAATGATTCTACCGCAGAATATGATTTCCATGAAAATGATGTTTCTGCAGGCACTGACCAGCTCCATTTCTAACCTAGATCTGCTGTTTTATGCCCTCACCCCTGCCCACCAGGACCAGCTCATCTTGCTCCTGCTCTTCTGCCAACCGTCACCCACCTTCAGTCCTATCGCCAGCAGCAAAGTAGACTCACTCTTCCCACACTGGGTGACTTTCAGCATTTGATCCAATATTCTATTTGCTGAATCTGTCGTGCAAGTCTGTTGCCCTCATTTATATGTATATGTATGTGTGTGTTTATGTGTTACTAGGGATTGAGCCTGAGACTGTCACACTGAGTCAAACCCCAACCCTTTTTAATTTTTTATTTTGAGACAGGCTCTCACTTAATCACAAAATGTCCAGGCTGAGCTCAAAGTTGTGATGCTCTGGCCTCAGCCTCCCAGAACGCTAGGATTATGGGATTACAGCCAGCTCGTTTGTGGTTTTGATTCCTTGTGCAAATCCCGTTTCTGTGAAGACAACTAGAGATCAGCCTAATTTCAGAATAAAGCTGAGTAGTAAAAAAAAATCTTTACTTACACAGGCACTATGACCAGTTAATGGCAAAACAAACATCATATCATTTTCTCCCTCACAGAAAAATGAAAAAATTTTTAAAAATTTTGTTGCTCGGGGAACTTCGATAACAATAGAAAAAAAGCAACTAAAGTTGAGATTACTAAGGGCTTTTTCCCTAGCCAGATAGCTGGACTGCTTTAGCTCTGGGTTAACTGCAGCCTAAGAGGGCCCATCTCTGTCAGCATCTGTGCGTGTCCCAACTTGTGTTGAGCTGCTGGAATTTCCCACCATAGGAGCTGGGGTCTGGCTGACTTGTCAGGAAGCTGGAGAAAATTAACAACTCACTCAGGCCTCCCAGCGTGATTCCTATGGAACTGAGATTAGCAAATCCACAGAGCGAAAATGTTGCAATGATTTCAGCTTTCACCTAGGGAAAACGCACATAAACAAGTAGATCAGTTCAATCCCCTGTGTGCATTCTCGTGATCGTGATGAAAGCCCCATCGTACTCAGAGCCTCGTGTATACAGAAGGGTCTTGGGAAACAACTGCTTCCTACCATGGGCTTCTCCACTCAACACTGGTATCACTGAATAAAGGCGAAAGATTGAGTGATGAAAAGGAAAAGTTAGAGAGACAAGAGGAAGAAAAAGGAGATCAGGTCATTGTAACTTACTGATGGGTTCCACCCTTGGGAAGCACTGCCAGGGCTCAGCGTGGTGCCTGCCCAACATGGCGCTGGACTGTGCCTCCCTTCAACACTGACTTCCGTGTTCTTCTTCCGAACCGGGAAAAATTGCACTCCCTGCTTTTTGTGCCTGCACCAACATCCCCCCAATCAAGCTGTCAAAACACCACTCTGCCTGCCCCTTCCAAACTCCACCATCTAACAAACTGAATAAAAGCTGGCAGCCTCTTTTGTCTATTCCGAGGGAATCTTGTACTCTGCTGCAGGCCTCTCTTGCCCACAAGGAAGGCCTTTATCTTTTTTCTTTTCTTCACTTTTGCTTTTCTACCACTCCACGGAAAAATCTATCACTTATAAATGAAGAAGGAGGCTTAACTCATCAAAAAAGACTGTCTTCCCTGGACATGGTAAGGACCCAACAATTACACTGCAGGCAGAAATTGGGGCAGAGAACAGGAAAGAAGCGGCACACAGACCTCAAAGTAGCTGAGCAATGGAAGAGGAGGCTGCTGCATACACAGTTCTGCTTGCTTTGTGGTTAGGCCTGCACCACTAGAAAGCATTGCCGTTCCACAGCCAGCGTTTGCATCACATGGTCACTACCACCAAACACCAGAGCCGAGAGCCCAAGCTGTGTGTGCTTCTCGGGATTGTCACTCACAGAAACCCACTGCTTCTCGCCTTCCAGCCACTCTTCCACTCCAGAGAGGCGTTTGTTTTTGTACTGAGACAGCTGCTGATAGGCCACAAACTCATTGGTGAAGAACTTGACTCCCACAATCTCAGCCACGATCCCACAGTCTGCCCAGTCGACACCCATCATGAAGACCATGGGCCTTAGCACGTAGGAGCAGATGACCTGAATGAAACAGAGGTACCCCAGGAAGGTGAAGAACAAGCTGCAACACTCATCCCAAGGGCTTTCTCTGCAGCCTTGGCCCAATCTCTTTCCCTTTCTCCTCCCATGCTTCCTCTTAGCTCACTCTCAGTAGGACACCCCAGTTCAAGCACTATTAACCACAGAGGGACAGTCAACACATTTATCCCTTTACCTGGAAAGTAAGCCCATGTATGTTCACCATTTCCCCCATCCAGGAGAGAACAGCATTGACGAAGGCTAAAATGGCCAGAAAGGCAATCAGGTTGGCTGCTATGTTAGCAACAAGACCAATGGCATCTATGGCTCCACTGCTGGCAGCTTCCAGAATGTTCCTCTCTGTCCTGTGGTTATCGGGCACAGGAAAAAGGTATGATATCTAGAGCCATCTCTGCCCCTCAATAAGGAGAATTTCCACTGTTTCCTCTAGTGCAGGAGGTGGGGACCAGGCCAGGATGAGAGGTGAGCAGGTTCCTCAGTGACCCTAGTCATGGAAGTTACTCTGAAGCAGTATCAGATGTAACTGTCATGAAATGGCACTGATGCATGGCACACAGACACTAGCAGCAGGTGGAAGACCAGACCACAGAAGCAAATCAACAAAAGAAGGCAAGACAAAACCTGGGATCATGTTTTTCCCACAGGGTGATGACATCTTTGCTACCACAGGGCCATTCTTGGGTCTGCATGTGAAAAGGCCCCTGAGACTCACCCACGTGGCAGTTTTAACCCCTCCTTGCTCTTGAACTTGGACTCCTCCACTTCTGGATACACCAGCTTGGACAAGGCCAGAGCACAAGGGGCAGCCATCACAGTGGCCGAGATCAAGGATGGTGCATCAATCTGTGGGGCCAGACCCGGGATGAGTCTCTGCAGAACCCACAGATGGGGGCTCCCTGGGAACCATCATCAGACTGTGCCTACCCCAAAGGATATGAAGGCTCCAAGCACAGAGCCTGCAATGGTGGCAAACCCTCCAGTCATCACGGCATGTATTTCAGACAGGGTCATGTCTGGAAGGTAGGGGCGGATGAGCAGAGGTGCCTCTGTCTAAAACAGAAAAAGGATAGATTCCAAAAGGGTGTGACTCCTATGCCAGCATGCCCACCCCCGCCCAGGAACTGGACCCATTAGACATTTATTCCTCTGGTGTGAGTCCTGTCCTGGTGCAAATCTTATTCCCTGCAGGTAAGACCCAGTGCTGGTGTGCGGGCCCCAAGCTCTGCCTCTTAGGTCTTCCCAGTGTCTGCTTCACAGCCTCTGATCCTGGCTGCTTCTGTGTGTGTTTGTCTTATGGTTTAAACTGTGATGGAAGTTTAAACGGCATCTTTCCTTTGCAGGTTCTCAAGGTCTAAATCCATACATTTACTGAATGTTCATTCTGAATGTTCATAGCATACACTTACTGAGTACACATTAGATGCTTGCAAAGTATTCATTAAATTGCAAAGAACTGACCTAAGTGAACTCCTTATGAAATAATCAAGAGAAACAATGTATATGAAAATGTTATGAATTTATGAAGGCCCAGCTATGTAAACTATGCTATCATGTAATAAGTGCCAACTATATACCTATTTTGGTACTAGCTGTTAAGGATATTCCTATGAATAAGGTGGCTCCTACTCTTAAGAGCTTAAAGTCTAGTAGGGGAAACTAAGCTGATTATGGATCACTTCAATGAAACGTGCAAGATTATATGGTAGAAGTATCCAGAGTACTCTGAGAACATATCAGAAGCAAGTTTCAGCCTAGGGCTGGGGTAGAAAGACCTCCATACTAACTCTTTGTCAGTTTGACCCCACCGTGTCCCACACTGAACTGATCAGCTATTAGCCTGGATGAGTACGTACTCCTTACAGACAACCAGGCATTATGGGGAAGAGTCTGGTCTCTGTACTGAGGCAAACAAGCTATTGCCTCCTTATAGACCCCCAAAACAAGGATCACAGGGAATCATGGGAAGAAACCAAATGTAGATCAAACCCCCTGCTAGATCCTGAAGGGAAATGAGATTTGGACCAGAAAACCCGTAATCCCTGTGCACGAAGCTGAGTCACCATTCAGGTTCAGTGGGCCCAGGAAGATACTAAGAGGCATGAGGGATGGTGACAGATGAGCTGCGTCCTCTTAGGATTTCTGAGCGCTCTTTCGTTGGGGCTCTGCAGTCCCCCAGCACTGCAGTCTTACCGTCCTCGTGTGCCTTTCATAAAGAGGTATGGTTTTCTAAACCTGTTTGCTGCTGAATTCTCAGTTCTCCAGAGAAAAAAAGACTGAAAAGCCTCGGGGTGCTTACCATGCCCACAAAGATGTTCCCTGCCACAGCCAGGGTCTCTGTGGCCGTGGTGCCCATGGTGATCTGCAAGAACCAGGCGATCTAAAAGAACACAGATATCTGCACCGTCAACATGAGCAGGAGTCTTGGAGAACATCTAGCAGAACCCCTCCTTTTCCATTCTACTGATGTGGAAACTGAGGCCTAGGGAGGCAGCGGTCATGAGACCACAGGACAAGTTACCAGCAGAGCCTGGGCCAGAGATGAGGCCTCTTTTTCTACATAGCAAGTACACTGAAACTCAAAGAGGTGGCTGAGCCCAGTGTCTCTGCCCCACAGCTGACCTGAGGCCTGCGCCCACCCCTAGCTGTAGTTTAAAGCCACAGTATCTACAAAAGCCCATGGGTTGAAGGCCTATGGCACTATGGGGAGGTGGGGCCTAGTGGAAGGAAGTTAGGTCACTGAGAGAGTGGCCTTGAAGGGAACACTGGGACTCTGACCCCTTTTCTCTCTCTCTGCTCCCTGGCTTTGCTGCACCGTGCTGTCTGCCGTGATGTTCTGCCTCTCATTGCAGGCCCCAAAACAAAAACACTAGGGCTCCCATGGACTGGAACCTCTGAAACCGTGAGCTGAGTTAAATCAATCCTCCTTTTCAGTGGCCTTTCTCAGACACTTCGTCACAGGAGTGGGAATAGGACTGACACTCCATTTGAGATCAGGCATGCTGGGAAGGGTTTGCCTTTTCACATGGGTTCTCACACTCTGGGTCCCACCTAGGAGCAGTACCAGAGTGTCATCTCCATGCCCTGCACACATCCCAAGAAGAAGGCCCATCTCCTGCCTGGGGTGGGAAGGTGACTCACCTTCTGAACTACCCACTGCACGAGCCCCAGGTAGTATAAAATGGACATCACACTCGCGAAGAAAATGACGATTGTTAAGGACTGTAATGAGAATGGCAAGCAGGTGGTAAGAGCACAGTATATGTACAGTGTGCACTGTGAGTACAATGTGAACCAAGCTCTGGGTTCAGCTCTCAGCATCCAAGAGCATCTGAAACGATGCACTTAAGAATAAATTTTAGATGCATTGCAAACCTACTATTGCACTGATACTAAACCACCAAGAAAATACTTTTGAGACCTTCTCCTCCACCCCTATTTTATACAATTTCAGGATAGGATTAAAGGGCAAAAGATGGATATTGTTTCAGGGCCTAGGGATTTAGCTCAGCAGCATAAGCGCCTGCCTTGCAAGGATATGGTTGTGAGTTTGATCCCCAATACCGATTTTAAAAAAAAAAGGATATTGTTTCCTTTATGGCTGAGTTAAACTTTCTTTCTTAGGGATGCACATTCATTCTCTATGTGCCTGCTCCGCCCCTGACCATCTTTCCTGCCCATAAAACGGTTACGACCAGGGCCAGGGATTTAGCTTAGCAACATAAGCACCTGCCTGGCAAGCGTGAGGTCGTGAGTTTGATTCCCAGTACCAAAACGACAACAACAACAACAAAAACAGTTATGACCTGAAAAGCAAAGACATCTTTGACCAGTTCATCTCCGAAGACAAAACTGGAGCCGGCCACAGTGTAGTCCAGGAAAATCTGAAAGGAGGAAAAAATACAGAAAACAGGTATGAAACCAGGCAGGACATGGGAAGATGGACTCACCTCGTGTGTGATTAGGCCCTCCTTCCATTCCCGGGCGTGGCCTCCCTTTGATGGCTCCTGGCCAGGATATGACCCCAGAGTCACACCTTGAATGGTAGACTCAGCAGACACCTCTCTTTGTTCATATTCTTATTTGTACTCCATTACTCTCTGTTCTTCCCCCACTTATCTCCCACCACCATCATTAGCAGACACAGCCTCATCCTCTCATGTCCCTCAAATCTCCCTTCTCAAGGGTCCTCCAAGAACAAAGCCTTCACACTGAATCTCCCATACCTGAACCTGGTCTCCCAGCCACTGAAAAGCAATGAATCCAGGATCGGTTCTGATGACCAAGATCCCAAAGACAAACTGGAGTCCCAGGCCCCAAAACACTGTCTTCCAAGGCACCTAGGATCAATAAGAAAAGTCCTCTGACATGAGTTACTGACCATTACCTGGCTCGAATTTTAAAATGGGTACATGGACTCTGGGTAGAACCAACCTAGCATGTTAACAGCATCCTAGAGTAGGATGGAATAGGGAGCAGGGCTGGAATACAGCTAGGAAAAATAAGGCAGTAACAAATAGACACGTGCATCCATATGGTTTTTAAAATGTATCCAGAAGTTAGATGATAAACACATACATACATATTCATGTATGCAAATAAACCTCATAAGTCAACACTTTAAAGTTACTATGTGCAGTGCAACCTGATCCTCTATTCTATTTTATTTCCTTATTTTTCCCCCTTTGTTCTGTCTTGCTGGCCTATATCCACCAAACTTACATCAAGACTCACTAATGGATTGTGACCTACAATTGGAAAGTAAGTGACCCTGATTTCTGAAAGCTTTAAAAGTTCACTTAGAGACAAAACTCTTTAAAAGGCAAATTCCAGGACCAGAAAAAAGCAAACAACATAGTTCTACACTTTTGGTAATGAATCCTCTGCATGTATACAAGAAGTGATCAAAAACAAGGTATTACAGGCTGGGGATTTAGCTCAGCAGCAAAGCACCTGCCTGCCAGGTACAAGATCATGAGTTCAATCGCCAGTACCCCCCCAAAGAAAAACCGCAAGTTATTACAGTAACACATACTGCCATTAGCTCCCTGGAAATAGCCACACTTACTTCAAACACTCTTATCCCATCGTTCTTGCCACTTTCTGAAGCAGTTCTGCAAGTCTTCTTTTGGGGGTGTCTTTACCACGTGTAATAAAAACACTCATTGCTGCTGCTGAGTGCTGTCCAGTGGACGGCAGCTCACAAAGGCCTTCCAGGGTGTCCTCATCTGCCTCACTGCTGGACCTGGCACCTTGCAACTCCCCGCTATTCCCCAGTGCCAAAAGGACCGCGAGAACGAGGTGTTTTTAACTTATCCTGAGCATCAAGGCAGCCACACCGGTGCCACTAAAGCCATTCACAAAGCAGAGCTGCTTCAGAATGCAAAACAGCGGGATAAGTGTGTTCAAAGCCAGCGGGAGCCTTCTGAGCGGGGTCAAAGGCAATGTGTCTTTGACTGTAACACAGTTGTTAAAGCTTAAGCTCATGCTGTAATTTTTTTTTAATTTTAAAAACAAAACAAAAGATAGAAATGATATAAAATTTCAAAACAGTAGGAAGCTGACACAAGTATTAATATTGCATAGGGTTATCTTAGAAGTAGTTGTTCAAGTTACAAGATTTAGGCATTAAAAATGATAAAAAAAAATCAAACAGTGAAAGTACAAACTGTTCTTTATGATGAACTTACAGAGATGAGTAGTATAGCTATCTATTTTGTATATATAAACATACACACATATTGATGTGCACCTATATGCATATAATCTTTTCCCTTCTTCCTTTTCTCGTTTCCCCTATCCCAGGTGTTCTTTCCTTTTGAGCACTTTCTTTCCCTTTCATTTCCACAATATCTATTGCACACTTTGGATCTTATTACTCTTTCAGGTTTTTTTTACACTAGGTAAATGATAAGATGTTTACACATGTGAGTCTGATTTATTTCACTTATGAGTATGGTCTCAAATTGCATGCATTTACCTATTAAAGCCTCAAGATTATCCTTCTTTACAGTAGAGTAATACTCCATCGTATAAAAATACCACATCTTTTTTTATCCATCCCACAGCTGATGGTCTTTTGAGTTGTTTCCAAGATTTAGCCATCACGAAATGTGCTTTTATAAACGTGGGTTCATGGTGTCATTTTCCACCACAAGGCGTACTATGTATGCCCCACCCACATACCCACAACTCACTGCACTGTGGTATTTGGAGCCAGCAAAGAGGATGAGGAGAAACATGCAGATCCCCGCAAAGGAGATGAGCTGCTCCGGCCTCTGGGCTGTGTCCAGAGCCAGCCACAGGATGAGGCCGACCAGAGCGGCACCTGCGATCGCCCTGAAAGAGGAAAGCCGAGATCACGTCAGGGCCCAGTGAGTAATGACAAACAATCACCTCTAAATACAGAAGGCGAGTGACACAACTCCAACTCCGTCACTTCCTGCTGACCACACAGAGGACTATGTTTCGAGCACCGTTCATCTAGCAGTTCCCTTGCCTCCCTTCTTCCTTCCTGAAGCTTCTACTCACAAAGTTAGAGAGTCTAACTGGGGGACACAGATCACGTGATTTCCTATTCCTGAAGTTTTCCTATCAATAAAATGTAACACAAAGTTTCATTCTGGAATCTTGCTCCAACAAGAATCAAAATACTAGAACTGCAGGATGAAGAGCAAATGTAGGTTCCTCCCAATCTCTGACCATCCCAAGGGCCAAAGGAAAGGTTCAGGTACACATCAACTACTGATGCTCTCGTGGGTTTTTTGGGTACCAAACACGCTGGATTAGTGCCAGACTGGTTTCTCCATTGGAACATTTCAGTCCTTCAAATCCAAGGGGGAAAAATTAGGAGAGAGATCGAAGGTGAAAACAAAACAAAAAAGCGTCGAGTTCAAGCATGACAGCTCTGGAACAAAACAACAAAAGGCCCTCACGGCGCGCCCAGCGTGGTGGCTCACACTTGTAATCCCAGCACTCAGGAGGCTGAGGCAAGAGGATCCCTGTGAGTTCGAGACCAGCCTGGGCTACAAAGTGAGCTCAAGACCAGCCTGAACTGCATAGAGAGACCCTGTCTCAAAAAGAAAAAGGACAAAAAAAAAAAAAACGGCACTCACAGGTCATGATTGAAACACAGGGCTCTTCTCACTGTAAACCTATTTTACGTAAAATGAAGAAATCTGGCTTCGAGAACCTGTCTTAGTAATGACTAAAGTCACTGTCACTCTGTCTCCCCAGGGTCTAATAAATCAGCGGCCCAACGGGTAGGAGGTGTCATCTCTCCAGCTTATCCTGTTGCAAGCATCCTTCACACCTCCTACCTGTGCGTGCACAGTCAGCTAACACAGGGACCAGATGGAAAATCTGAGAGGCATCCTCGCTCCTGGCTCGGGTTAAAGGCTGTATGCGTGGCATAGTTAGATGAGCTGCTTGGAACCCAGTTTTGGTGAATACTGAATGGTAAACTTGCTCTTAAAGCCCAAAGGATTGTGAGAGACATCGATGGGTGGAGGAACTCTGGAGAACCAGACAGGGGAAGGCATAAAAATATTGACGATCTAAGGGAGACATGGGTGATCACTATCTAACTTGATAACCACGCAGTGGCCAGCCTCCATGCTCTGCTGACTTCACTGGAGAGAAACATGGTTTTGCTCGTTTCTGACATGGTTGCAACATTAAACAGACTTAAATGCTTCTCCAAAACTGAGCCTGTCTTAGCAATGCTGAGACCCAAGGCCGCAAGACTGGGCTGAGCGCCCAGGCATTGCCGTTCGCCTTCCTTCTGCCCTTGGGTTTTGCACGGCCTAGGTGAGGGCCTGAGAGATCCTCCTGGAAGAGTCGGAGGGAAAAAGGAGAAACTGACTGTAGTCTGGCATGGGTCGTGGGGCCAGGGGCATGGAGATTCTTACCACTTCATCCAAAATCGCAGGCGAGAGTTTTTCAAGGGCTCTAGACAGCTGCTTAGTTTTCCACCAAAGAACTTTTTCAGGAAGTGGAGAGCCAGGACTAAGATCACCAGGCAGGTGATGATGAACAAAGCCAGTGCTCTCTGGAAATCCAAGATGCAGGCTGCCAGGAAGTAGGCAGCATAGGCTAAAAAGAGGAGGCACAGAAGATCAGCACAACAGAGCCTCCTCGGCCAGGAGAGCCTAACTGCTCTCTGCCCAAACTCCCAAGGCCACTCCAACTCTCCAGTGTGTCCTGAAGACCGCCTCTGTTCCCGGGTCCCTGGTGAAATCTCACTCTCTCTCGGCCTCTCTCCATCCCTCAGAGCGAGTTCCAAGAGCATCCACCATTAGACTCTTCAAAAGCCATTCGTCTCTTCTTAAAACTTTATCACCCCTGTGCATTAAAACCTTTAAAGGCTAAGCCTGAGCAAAGCCATGTAAATCACGCGGCTGAGGGTGTAACTCCACGGCAGAGCCTGTGCCAGGCCTGTGTGAGGTCCTGGGTTGGACCCTCTCCACCGCCGACCACAACAACAGCAATCATGTTAACAAGGCTGCCATGCCATGTGGCCCTCATCTTCCCTTAGCCACCCCAAAATATAATTTTTGTTGTCACCATCTCAGCTGCTTCTGTTGTTGACATCAAAAGCCGTACATCAACGACAGATTGTTTTAGACAGAGATTTGCAGTCTTTTTAAAACATTTTATATCAGCGATTTTTACTAGTAAGCCAGCAAATACATAATGTATAATACAGGCTTTTCTCATAAAAGACTACAGGAAATTGTGCTCTGCGTGACATCAAGACACTAAAAAAAAGATAAACCCATCTTCTCAGAAATATTTTAAGTCTGTCAAATAACACAGTTTTGAAAATTTTTCTATTGTCAGATTTTACTTGTTCCTGAAGGTGCAATTGAATAAATTATGGTTTGCCTGCAAGGAATCAGGAGCTGTCCATCAAACAGCCTCCAGGTCACTTTGCAAAGAAAGTTGCTTTCCACCTAGTAATCACCATGACACAAGGTGCCATTCCAAAATGATTGTGTTTCTGCCTCCCATAAATCCTTGTTATCTCACCCAAACACAAGAGGCCCAACAGGATCTTCCGGAACAGCCTGGCATGTCTTGCACAGAAGCTTCTTGCCTTAACAAAAGGCTGTACATTCCTCCTGATGAGAACCAGAGTTAAAACACAAGGATCACTGCATCCCATTGGTACGGAATCGCAGGATCTAGATGACCTGGCTGAAGGCACAACTTGTTCTTAGTCAGTGAAGAAAAGTCCTCAGCTGGGGAAAGCTTAGCAGTATCCCAGCCATGCCCAAGAGGCCAGCTTGAAACCTGCTAGGGTGCTGTGCTGCAGGTCAGAGAGGCTCAGTCAGCCTGCACCGTGGACATCCCTGATGGTTTCCTACCAGGGAAGTGAATGGTGGGCAGAGCAGGGATCGCTCCTTCCCTCAGGCACTGCTCAGCCATCCTATTCAGAAGAGGCCAATTCTTCTGAGGGGCAATTTGGCCATCCATGTTTTGGGATGGCACCAATAGACTCTATGCCCTCTGGCTTAGCAAGCTGTGTTCTACCAGTGGAACTCCATGGTGGACCAGGGTCCAGAAAGGCTGAGGTCAGTGTATAGAGCAGGGAGGTCTCGCCTGGCTCCTGCTGGGTTCTCCTGCATCTCATCCATTCAGAAATAGTAACTGTTCACCGCTTCAAGCCTTAGCTTTGTCTGGTATTCTTTGTCCAGTGTTCCACATGTCTTGCATGTACCTTTGCAGCTGTCTGTTTGTAAGCAAAGCCCCATCCAGTTACCCTAACTTAAGTACACCATCTCTCTCCTGCTGGGGCCCAAACTGACACACTAGGCGACTCTGGTACACCGAAGCAAACGCAGCTGAACAAGACCATGGCAAAACGAGGAGGCACACACTGGGCTACGCGCTGATAGAAATCCCAGGCCTAGATAAGAGTTTCGCTGTCATCTTCCGAGTGTAGACCCATCATTTTCTTGGAACTAAAGTCCAGTAGGTACTTTTAGAAACAAATGAACTCTATTCATTTCTGCAAAACCTATGAACAACATGATCCCAGACTTCCAGCTTGGAACTGGGTCTCTGGTTGAAAAAGGAAATTCATAAATAAGAGATGTTCAAAAGCAAAAAGAGAAAACAAGTGTTGTCATTCTTTTGAAGCAGCTGAGAAGCAGTTCATGGAAGCCTGGTCCCAGTACCCTGCACGGGGCAGGGTCTTGCAATACTACCAAGCTCTTTACCCTGTGTAATGGTGCTGTGTGAGCATCAGTGTCTGTGTGGTGTTAGGAGGTGTAACTGGTAGGTGGTGAGTTCCAGTGTCTTAGCTGTAACCTGCTGGGAAGCCTGCATCCGCTGAGAAGTGTATTCATGAGAGGCTGTGCAGGTGCTGACTACTGACAGCCCTGTCGCGCACATGCTTGCTGTCTGCAGCCTCTGGGACAAGATGGGACAGCCTAGCTGAATGTGACATTAGTCAGGTCCAGCACCAAGACGTGTTACTTTTCTTACTGCTGAGACAAAATACCCAACATCCAAAGTTAATGGAAGAAAGATTAATTTGGCTCACAGTTCATAGAGATTTCAACTGATCATTGGCCCTTTCCAAGTCAGGCTGGGCAGGGAGCAGCAGTTGACGGCAGGCAGAAGGTAACAAAAGCAACAGGGGACCTTAACAGTGTCTTTTTGTTCCTCATATCTTACGCAGGCTTCTCAGGGTGGATAGCACTTGTACCCTTAATCCTAGTGCCCTTGAACCTAGCATCGCACCCAGTAGATCCATCCACCTCGGGGGAAAAAAACCCACCTATGACTGCACGAGCCTTTGGGGGACATCTATACACAAGTCATAACAGTGTGTATGCATTTTCTCAGTGGCCCCATTTACAAGATTTGGAAACTCTCCCAAGTCAGGGACAGGGAGCTCTTGGGACTGAAAGGCACTGGGCAGTTAAAATGGAAAACTTGGAGCAGCTTTCAGAGAATCCAGTGCTAGTGACCATGGGCAATGTGGTCTTGGGTGAGTCTTTGTAGTTGTAACGTGAAGCAAAAACTAAAAGGAATGAGTCAACCAGGACCAAAGAGTGGTATGCATAAGGCAGAAGTGGCCACTTAAAAGGGCCTCAAGGCTTTATACTGACAATGGCATGAAAGGGTTTGTCGGAGGACAATGCAGCAGATAGAACCTTGCTGTGAGTTCAGCTGAACTGAAAGAGCTGGTGTGTAGTGCATGGATTAAAAAGCGACCAATGGAAACAGCTTTAGAAGCAAAAGAATATTTGGAATCAAGGTAGAAAAGCCAATCAAGAGGCAGAGGAGCCAGGGAAAGCAGGGCAAAGGCCTAGCAGGTGGGCAGCCAGCTGACTTAAACTGGAGGCAGAGGCCCTGCGTTAGGAAGGAATGGCCCAGGCAGAGGGACCCTAAACCAGAGCGTAGCCAGGGGCCACATTGCTGAGTGGTGGTGGCTGCTGCCTTGGAAAGAGCTCTCCCGCCGGCAGCTCCCACAGGTCTGCCTGATGTACCCAAGTCAGACAGCAGCAGATGTCAGATCTTCCTCACATGGACATGGAGCCCCAAAGCCACAGACAGGGAGAACTCTTGCGGTGGGACTTTGGCAGGCCATCCAAGCCACCCTCCACTGCCTCCTTCCAGAATCTTTATGTCTCCGTGTTTAAGGCAGCAGCAGCTCCGACAGGCAGAGCAGCCTCCCGAGGCAGGTGCTCTCCGGACTCTCCCTCCAGCGGGCTTTTCAGGCCAAGCCCCTTGGTGTAATTCTACAGCAAGCAAACTGTCTCTGGGTTTTTTATAGACAACTTATACCCATTGTGGACTTCCTGTGATACTATGGTTTGCCCCATTTACAAATCTTTTAATGATTTCAGTAGGAATCTGAGGGCTAAGGAATTCTTGTTGCTTCCGCTGCTAATGATAGGCTTAGGCACAAATGGAAAAAAATAGAGCCAGGTCAGAATGGGCCGCCTCTTCCCTGGGAACTGGCACTGATACACAGCATAGGACCTGGACAGCTTTTCAGACTTCCTGCCCCACCAGCCCTTCAGGTCGTCCCTACCCCTCTGACCAGGCAGTCAGAAGAGCCAGCCAATAGGACAATAAGGAGACGCAGTACACTTAGCAGGAGCAGCTGTGAAGCTTGAGGAAGCTGGGAAAAAAATGGTTTTTCGAAGAGGAGAGGCAGATGATAACTTTGTGGCACAGAAACAATCATAGCAAGATTTGACAGAGAAAAGGTGAGTGGCTGTGTTTCCAGGAGAATGACCCAGTGCCAAGTGGAGACAGAAGGGTGAACGTAGCACACGTGGGCTTACTCAGAAAGCCTGCCCACAAAGACAGGGACAAGACACTATTTTACAGGGCTACCTCAAAGCCTCATTCACCATCTTCCCTAAAATAACCACTGGGTTAATGGCTTTGCAAGTTTACAAGCAAGGAAACCTGCCTGCCAGCAGGTGGCAGAGCTGGGATTTAAAACCCAGAGCCACCCTTTCCCCCAAGCTGCAGACAAAAGGCTAAATTTGAGAGGGACCATTCCAGAAACTGAAAATTAGCAGGAGCTAGAGAGTGGAGAAGAGGGAACAGAGAACAGAGAGCCATGCCTGTGAAATGCAGAGACATTCCCACAACGGAGAAGACAGACAAAAGGACTCGATTGCAAGCGGGGAGGGATTTGCTAGGTGTGTGCACCTCAGGGAGGCAGAGAGGGTTGGAGCATCTCCAGAACAGGCAATGATGCCCGAGTGAGCCTCACGTTCTGGAAGTGAGAGTCTTCATCTCTGAGGTCCCAGGAGCTTGTATATGGGGGATGGAGGAGAGCAAGCCTGGGAAGGAGGCAGGATGCAAGGTCTTGTTGGTGATTCACCAGGCGCAGGAAGTCAGACATTGCCTTGTGGATACTGAGAGCCACTGAGCATCTAAACAGAGCAACCCAGACAGGGAAGGGAAAGGGTGCTAAGGTATGTGAGCTGGCTGGGCTGGGAGAGGCAGCTCAGGGGAACAGCATCTGCTTAGCATCTATGAGAGCGGGGCATGATGGCTGGTGCATGCTTATAATCCCAGTTCTCTGGGAAGCTGGACAGGAGGATCACAAGTTCAAACCCAGCCTGGGAAAATTAGATAGTTAATGAAAAGAGAGAGAGAGCCAGTAGGGATGTGGGGGAGCTGACTACAAAGGAGACTAACAGTGAGCCTGCAGACAGGGTGGAGCAAACCAAGGAGGGCGGGGGGAGGCAGAGGCTCAGGGAAGACAGATGGATGGGGAGATGGTACCTGATACAAGGTCCTGGGAGCTCTGCCATTGGCTCTGAGGATGAATTGTCTTGGGTGGTAACGGCCCACCCTCCGCTTTAACACTGATCCTGTCCCTCATAAGACAGCACATGTCCTCTCTGTAGGACACCAGCTCCCCATTCCCTCCCCAGACGTTGGCCTTCTGGGTCCACCGGTGGGTGCATGTGTGGCCCCCAGGGTGTGGTGTTCTTGGTGTAATGGGCTCAGGTTCTGCCTGCTATGGGGCTTTTGTTTGCAATGCCATACACCCCTTTTCTCACGGCTGTACCTCTGGCTGTCAATAAAACACTGGCTGCAGCTAGGGGTCCAAGTCGGGGATAGAGAGCTTGCCTAGCATGTGAGAAGCCTTGGATTTGCACGTGCACACGTGCGCACACACACACACACACACACACACACACGGGCTTGCAAGAGAGGCTAGAAGGTCACTGAGCAGAAGTGCCCAGTGACAGTGGGTGTGCACCAAATGTGACAGGTAGGCTTCACCATCACCCAGTGAAATCATTTCAGTTTCTCGGTGGTGGAAATTAGTTGTACTCAGCTAAGAAGTGTGCGGCAGAGGGCAACACAGAAACAACAAACAAATCCTACCTGCCGGGAAACTTGACCACGCAGGGAAAAGGTATCACAAAGTTGAGGTCAGGCTGATTTGTTCGGGGATAAAGCCTGAGGATGGTTACACACTGGGGACTCATCTGAGGCAGAAGGTGGTGTGAGGAGAGGGCCTTGTGCAGAGGATAGAGAAGGAAGGGACTGGAAAACGGCCTAGAAAGAGCTGGATGTGGTGCTCAACAGGAGAGTGCATGGCTAGCACGTGTGCGGCCCAAGGTGTGATCCCAGCACCGGAAGGAGAGGAGGAGGAGGAGGAAAAGGAGGAGGAGGACATATTGATAAAGAAGGAGAAAGATAAACATGCACACAGGTGCAGATACATTGAAACTGGGGGATAGGGAAGACAATATGTTAATAAATAATAGTAACCGTAGAATGGCATTTATGATATATATGTGAGGGGTAAAATACACGACAACTACAGTACGAAGGCTAGAAGAGAAAAGCTGGAAAAGCAGAGGTGACTCACTTCCCTACTGGATCTCAATCAGTTTTACCTGAGCAATTATACTCATTATCTTATTGGTTGGCCATAATTCTGTCCCACCTCATGTCCACTTTGTGAGTTTCCATCTTGGACCTGCTTTACCTCGTGATTTTACTCTATAAAAGCCCTAGAAAAGACAGGGACTTTGGCAACCCACTCAGGACCCCTTGTGTCTCTCTCAGACAAGAAGCTTTCTTTCCGTCAATAAATATATTCTGCTCTTAACCTCCGTTGTTCCTAAAATTCATTCTTCAACTTTAGAGAACATGAACTCATACCAGATACCTGCTGGGCTGTGGGTTTCTTTCCCGTTTCAGCGTTTGCTCTTACTCCACCCGCCCCAGGCCCTGGCCCCACGGACCTGGGCTCAGAACATCTGTACCTCGGCTGAGGTCTTGGTGCCGCCGGCTTCTTGGCTCCCTCGGGGTTTGCCCCTTCCTCCTATGGGCACAGTAGAACTGGGTTCAGTCGAGTAGCCCTGCCACAGAGGGGGTCAAAAGCAGCCAGAGACCTGTGGCCAGGCGGGAACACCGGTGAGTTACCCAGAGCTCCAGACCCGGGTTCTCGTAGCCCTGCTCCATCCTGGACAGAGCGGCCTCTCTTCCACTGCCTCTGTCCATCTTCTGTGCTCATCTGAAAGACAGGGCCAAAGCCGGAGGGCGAATCATTCCATCTTGCAGGGGTAGTAAGACTTTTTAGGGCCGCTTACTGGCTGGGAAAACTGAAATCTTTAACAAAGTCAAGCGTGGTGGCACACGCCTGTAACCCCAGCACTCAGGAGACCAAGGCTGGAGGATCTGCAAGTTTGAAGCCAGCCTGAGCAACAAAGTTCAGTGTCAACCTGAACTACATAGCAAGACTTGGCCTCAAAAAGCCAAAAGTAAATTAATCAATTTACAAACAAAAAGTTAATAAAATTCTTTTAAAGAGTTGATTTCCTTAAGAACGAGAATGGGGCTGGATGTGGGGGTGCATACCTGTGATTCCAGCACTTTGGAAGGCTGCGGCAGGAGGTCACTTAAGAGTTCAAGGCCAGCCTGAACTACGTCGGGAGGGTCACTTAAGAGTTCAAGGCCAGCTTGAACTACGTCGTGAGATGCTGCCTCAAAACAAAACAAAAAGAACATGGGGCTGGGAATTTAGCTGAGTGGCATAAGCGCCTACCTTGCAAGTGCACAGTCGTGAGTTCAATCCCCAGTATCAAAAAATAAATAAATAAATAAAAGAACAAAAAAACTGATGGAGAGGTGCAGTGTGTGTGTGTGTGTGTGTGTGTGCACTTGCTAGGTAGGCACTTATGCCACTCAGCTAAATCCCAGCACCCCCAGAATTTTAATACAATAAATAATGAAAGGTAGAATTCAGTTTTTTATTGGTTGTAGGCAAGAAAAGGGTAATGAGATAGGAGAGGGGAAATGAAGGGCAGGGAAGTCCCAAGGCTTCAGGACCTGGGTTAAAAATGGCCCTGTTGCTTGGGAGGCTGAAGCAGGAGGATCACTGAGAGTTCAAAGCCAGCCTGGACTACATAGTGAATTCAAGGCCAGCCTGAACTACACAGCAAGAACCTGGTCTCCAAACAGACAGACAAAGACCCTGTTTACATCTTCAAAGGAAGGTTCTTGCCGGGTGTGATGGCTCACACCTATAATCCCAGTCCTCGGGAGGCTGAGGCAGGAAGATCACTATGAGTTCAAAGTCAACCTGAACTACATGTGAGATCCTATTTCAAAAAACAAAGAGAAGCAGGATCCAGCGACACAGCTCCATTTTCCCAGGGGAGGACCCACTGCACTGGACTAGGTAAGATGGAGACCGAGAGAAGAGCTGAGAAAACCCCAGCTCCCAACACGCTGCAGACAAAACAGACAACCAAGCTTTCAGCTTCCTGAGTGCAAAGCACCGTAAGGAAGGCTGCGTGCAGACCCATGGGTGTGAACACCCCTGATGGGGGCAGACAAGGAAAGTTTTAAAACAAACAGAAGCGCAAGACACTCAAGCAAACACCTGTGCCTGGAGATAAGCAACCCTAACACAGGACTTGTCATGTTTAGGAGACGGGTTGGTGCCACGCCATCTCCTTACCTGGCAGAAACTTTCCATCTTTTGGAAATCGCTTTTAAAAACTGTGGTCTCTTCCAACATTCCGACTGCAATTTCCCTAAGCATCCGGTACCCGGCTTTTATGGTGTGGATGAGAGAACAGAGCTACCTGGATCTTGTCTCTCTCTCTCTCTCTGACCCCTAAAGAAAGCCAGCAAATCAGGGTCCTATCTGTCCTGCCCTTGCTTACCCCAGCCAGCGGGATCCGTAGGCGCCTCCTCAGCCACTAAGGACCCTCTCAGCTGTGCAGGCTGGGCTGCAGATCCATCCTGGCTGGGCTCCTGTCTTGTCCCCTCCTCCTCTGCAAGCCTTTGCTCCTGTAGGGGAAGGCGATTCCCAAGTTAATGATTTACAGGCTCTTGGGGCTTGCCAGCAGGTCTGAGGATTCCCCAAGAACTTCTGCCGGGCTCACTGTGCCCACTGCTGTTCCAGGAACTGGCTTGTGCATAAGGGAAAGGGCTCTGCACTCGGAAGCGCAACTGTTCGGGCCGAAAGACTCCTGGGAATTCCGTTATCGATCCATTCAATCAGTGTTGTGAATATTTGCCACAGGGTAGAAGAGGACAGACAAAGAGACAGATCCACAGGACTGGGTGGGTGATGGATCTGGCAAAGAGAGAATGAGTGAAAGGAGGGAAGATAATTTTTCAAATTGTCAGGGACTAGGGTTGTGCAGAGCATGTGTGAGGCCCTGGGTGCAAACCTTAGCATCTGCACACTCACACACACACACACACACACACACTCTCCAAGTGATCTTGTTTCCCGCTACTTCTACCCTCCAGTAAATACTCCCCTGTATGCTGTTCCCTGAACACCCCAGCTCCCTGGTGCCCTCCATTAATGCTGTTCCTTCTGCATCTGATACCCATCCTGATTCACCTACCTGGCAGCCGAGTTCTCTGTCCCAAGGCCACCTCTCCAATAAGATGCTCTGTCGAAGGAGACCTTGGACTTATTGCTGAGCTCCTACCCTGCAGCATCACTGTGGAACTCGTCCCACTACACAGGTACGTCCTGGAGCCAGCGCCACAGCACCCTGGCTTAGAGTATTTGGTACTAGGTGATGAGTCCATCACCAAAACAAGGACACCTACTTCTGGTTCCCTAGTTCCTTGTGCACACACACACACACACACACACACACACGTGTGCATACACACACACTCACACTCCCTCCCAGAGAAAGCGTCCATTGGATCACAGGCTGGGCTGTCCCCCTGGACCCTGGTCTTCCCTGTCCTGTCTGTTGTTATCTCACAGGATTAGGGTGAAAATTAAGTAATTTAAACAAAAGAAAAGACCTGGAAAAGTGTAGACGATCTTGTCACTGTGGGATAGTACGAGAGCCTGCTAAGGGACCCTTGGGAAAACAGAATGTGGATGTTGAGAGCTGATCTGCTCACAGACCTTTGCAGGCTGACGTCTGTCGCTTCAGTGTGACTGTTGCTCATTCTGTGATTGTCTGTCTGTCTGTCTCTCTTTCATGTTTACTTTAAATATCTGTCCGTTTGGAGCTGGGTCTAGGCATGAGGATAGACACAGAGTGCCGTGGTCTGCCTGGGGGAATAATGCCAGCAATCACATCTGTCTGCTCTCGCCCTCCTCCTTTCCCTGTGACAGGTATAAAACCCATGTCTTCACTGTCCAAGTGCAGACCACAGAGATCCGGATTTGTAGCCAGCACGAGGAGGAGACTCACGCGGCAGAACATTCCTGGATGAACCGCTGGGACTCCACTGTCTGTGCTTTGATCCAGGGCAGCTGCACTGATCAACGCTCTGTAATAACATATTGAAAAGCACAGGGTGACTTACCAAGAACCCACAGCTAGCTCCACTCTCCCAGCTCAGGGTCCCTCGACCTCCCTCCCAACTCAGGGCTCTCTCTCTCAATCTCTCTCTCTCTCTCTCTCTCTCTCTCTCTCTCTCTTCTCTCTCTCTCTCTCTCAGTGACGGGGTGAAAAGTCAGTAGGAGACTCTAGCTCACTGTGGCTGCAGTCTTCCTGGCCCTGTGCTGTTCATCTCCAGGCCTTCCTGTAAGGCAAGCCAGCCAGCTGCCAGCTCTGTCTGCAGTAGAGGCTCACAGGGGGTGAGCAATTTGTCTAAAGCTGTATGGTTAGTTTGGGTGAAGTGGGGGCAAGGCCCCAGCTCCCCTGCTTCTGGTGGCAGCCGACCTGACGGCTGTCCTAGCTCCTGGAGCACGGGGCTTCTGGCTGAGGTCTTAGGAGAGAGCTTGCTTTTTCACTATGCCTCCTGCCCAAACAGCTAACAGGGCCTGAGAGGTGCATCAAGCATCAGCCGGAGGCCTCACAGAGCAATAAACAGTGGCAGGCTGTGACTCTGCACAGAAGGGGAAGTGAGACTTGTGCCCCACATTTATCCTGGCCCTGCTATTATTATTGTGGTTGTTGTTATTATTGCTGCTGCTGTTGTTATTTTGGTGCCTGGAACTGAACTTCACTTAAGACTTAAAAAGGACTAGGCATGGTGGCACGTGCTTGTAATCCCAGTACTTGGGAGGCTGAGGCAGGAGGATGGTGTGGAGAGTCCAAGGCCAGCCTGGACTCCACAATGAGCCCCTGTCTCAAAAAGAAAAGAAAAGACTTAAGAAGAAATAACCACAATAGAACAATAAATCTTTAAAAGTTGAATTTATACTTTTAAAAACCTCACAACAAAGAGACCTCCATACCCAGACATTTTTACATATTCAAATTCTAGCAAGTAGTTAAGGAAGAAGAAAAACAGTTTTCACAAACTCTCCCAGAATACAGAAGAGAAAAGAAGCCGATGCCTCAGCAGGGCTCCAGCATTAATTACGCTCAGACACAAACCACGTAGCAACATAGAAGAAAAGAAAACTATGGGCTAGCAAGCCAGAGGGACATAATGGGAAAAAATCCCCAGCAAAATGGTAGCAAATCAAAGCCAGCGATACAGAAAGTGTATCCAAACCGAGGGGAATTTATCCCAGGCATAAAAGCCTGCTCGACATTTGAAAATAACACAATTCACCACAGCAACAGACTAAAGAAGAAAAGCCACATTATCATCATCCTATATATGCAGAAAATGGTATTTAAAGTGCTATATGAAAGTGTTCACAATAAAAACTTTCAGTAAACTGGGAGAAAAAAGGCGATTTCTTCAACTCCATAAGGGGCATCATCGACAACAAAACCCTACAGCTAACATCTTATTTATTTGCTTGTCTGCTTCTTTATTTATTTTGAATTTGGGTCTTGCTTTGTTGCCTAGACTGGTCTCTAACTCCTGGGCTTGAGTGATCCCCTCCATTAGCCTCCCAAGCAGCTAGGACTACAGGTACACACCACCCTGCCCAGTTTAACCTCATCTTTTTTTTTTTTTTGGACAGGGGATTAAACTGAGTACCTTGTACTTGCCAGGCAGGTGCTTATGTTCCTGAGCTGTATCTCTGGACCAATCTCTCTCTCTCTCTCTCTCTTTTTTTTTTTTTTTTTCGGTACCAGGGATCAATCTCACAACCTCATGCTTGCCAGGCAGGCACTTGTGCCACTGAACTAAACGTCCAGCCCTGATCATCATCTTTAACAGTGAAGAATTAAATGCGTTCTCACTCAGGTAAGGCACGGGACTGAATTCACCACCATCTTTCAACATCATGCCAAGTCCTGGCAAACACAGTAAGACAAAGAAACACCCAAAAGACATATGGACTGAAGAAATAAAATTGTCTTTATTCACAGACAACATGATGATTTACATCTAAAATATTTCAAAGCACTTACCATGAAAAGAGAGGCATTACCAGAATTAATAAGAAATTAATTAGGTAGTCATATGTGGTGGTGCACACCTGTAATCCCAGCACTCAGGAAGCTGAGGCAGGAGGATCATTGTGAGATCAAGGCCAATCTGGGATGCAAAGTAAGCTCAAGGCCAGCCTGAACTGCATAGCAAGACCCTATCCCAAAAAGGCAAAACAAAACAAAGAAAGAAAAGAAATTAATTAGAGTCAGCAAACAAAACTCAAGCTCGTTTCTGGATTCCAGCAATGAACAACTGAAAAGTGAAATAACATTTATACAAGTACCAAAAAGCATGAAATGCCTCAGATTAAATGTAGACTATGCTGAAAACCTTAAGAGTCTAGTGGAAGAAATCAAAGAAGCCAAGTAAACGGACACACCAACTGTGTTCATGACTTAGAAAACTCAATATTATTAAAATGCCAGGTCTTCCCCAAATGGTCTACATATTCCAGTCAGTTCAAATCAGCACCATGACAGAATGTTTTTTGTCAAAATTAACAAACAGAATCTAAATAAAACTGATGTGGGAAGTCAAAGAAAAGAGCCCCGTTTACCCAATCAGAAAAGAGCAAGACTGGGGGATGGGTGTACACTGCCTAATGGCAAGGCTGTGGTTGACCAGCTGCCCGACTGCCCACTGTGTTCTCTCCCATGAGGCCCTGACTTCCCCAGGGCAGCAGATGGTCCACTGCTTTTCACCGCGCTTCATTGTGCAAACAATACTAACACGAACCTTTTTGGGATGGGTACCCAGAACCAAACTCATAACCTTGCGCTTGCCAGGCAGGCACTTACATCCCTGAGCTGAATCCCCGGGCCCCTCACCCCACTTCAGTGAAGCACATGTTTGTGCACTCAGAGGCAGCTCTCAGGGCAGTGCAGCTCTCAGGGCAGTGCAGCTCTCAGAGCAGTGGTCGGTAACTCGTCACCCTTCCTGTATGACTTCTGTCACTGTTCCCATCCACCCGGCTGAGGTGAGGTGGGGATTTACGCTGTCTTCCTTTGTTATCAGTGGAGGAAGATGCAGAAGGGAAAATCTTCCTGCTTCCGAGAAGTCACTAGAAGAAACCCAGGTGCCAAGGAGGGGTCTTTGGTGGCCTCCCTGGTCCCTCTTCTTGCTCAATTCTGTCTGGCTTTGGCTCCAAGCAGTGTCATAAACAGCTGCTATCTGTGGGTGTGGAGTGGAGATTCTTACACCCAGTGGGTCCTTCCAGATCTTCCTGCTAGCACCAACAATGCAGGCCATGGGCAGCACAGGTGGTCAGCCATGGGCAGCACAGGTGGTCTGCCATGGGCAGGCACCTGGTGGTGGTTTCGAAGGGACCCTATGCATGTCTGCCTGTCACACAGCTGCCACCTGTGTGGAGACAACACCCTGTCCTCTCCAGCCCTGACCTCTGTTCTACATTTTCGCTTTTGAAAAAGCCTGAAGATCATTTCCACTGAGATGATCCACTCAATAGCAGCATGTCCTGGACACAGCGATATGTGCTATTAGGAAGCTGAAGCAGGAT